GCTCCATTTTTTTTTCCTGGGGGTTTTTTTTGACCCCTGGATATCCAGGGGTCAAAAAAAACCCAAAGAAAAAAAAAACAGAGCAGTGTACACTCAGGCAGCGAGCGCTGCTGAAAAGTGGAGCCAGGCCACCCAGAACCATGTTGCAGCTGAGGAGGCCCCCAGGACCCCAGGTCAGGCTGCTGGCCCAGCCTCCTCTACCACTTCCAGGGTAACTTGCCATGTGCCAAAGCATGCATGACACAGGGGTTTCCTGGAGACAAGTAGCTGTGGCACAAGGTGCGCCATTGCTAGTTGTCCCCAGGAACCAAACGTCCACGCACATTTAGACATGCCCTAAGAGAGTAATCCAAAGGATTTTGAAAAGCAACTTGATTCCAGTGTATAAGTACCTTCACCAAGAGAAAACACCAGGTACTGAAAGTCTCTTTAATCTAGCAGAGAAAAGAGTAAAAAGAACCAATGGCTGCAAAGCCAGACAAATTAAAAATAGACACCCATTTTGTAACAGGAATTCATTAACCATTGATGAATTCTCCCTATCTTGATGCATTCACCTCAAGACTCAATACCCTTCTGGAAGATGATTTACTCAAACTAAAGTTACTTGGCTTAATATAAAGATAACAGAGTGAAATTTAACATCTGATATACAGGTGGTCACACCAGATGACTTTGTAAGTCCTTTCTTGACTTCTTGCCTGTGATTCTATAATAGAAAAAAGGAGAAGGAATGGAATATCTCAGAGACTTCCACATTACAGACTTGTCTTGTCATGCCTTGCATGTTACTGGTGCACAGATATTGTGGAACAGAGAGAAGTACGGACCATTTTCTCTCCATGCATGCAGCCTGGCAAAAATGTTTCAACGATGGAAGTATACACCCAGTAACATACTGCTATCATACTAAAATGCAGCCCAATATATCCATAGGGGTTGTTGAGGTCCCAAGCTGGCTACTGCATTTGCCACTAGCTGCCAAAAAACTCTTGTGTAAAACCGTTCAATACAGAGAGGACACCCTGCAGTAGCCCATCCTACGAATTGTATGTTTCTTACACAAGAAGTGCAGCCTATATGCTCTATTATCCTTTTCTGCTGGTTTCCCCAGTTAAGGGCATGATATAGCCTGCAAGATCTAATCAAAGCATGGTAATTCAGTGATGAAGAAAATAAAGCAGTATATAATAACCTGGAGAAAGACATTCCGTCATTTGGAAAAGAAAAGTCGCAGTCCTCTCAGAGTGACATATCTCAACATGTGACATCAGCCTTTCAACTTATGTCAGGTGAACTGAGAATTTTATAACGTCTCTTTAAAGGTCCTTTTAATGGGCCACTGTCTTCTGTCTTTGCTTAGACCACAGCTGAGTAGTAACAGCAGTGAGTGTTCCCAGCCCTCTGAAGGGCAGGGGTGGGGGTTGTTTTCTTGGGGTTTTTTTAAGAGTAAGTTGCACTAAGAAATATGTGACATTTTAAAAATGCATGCAACTCTATATTGGAATCTAATTTATTTTCAACAGGCACCATTAAGACGTCATCATTGACCTGCTTCAACCAGACAGTTGGGGTCAGAAAAACGTGAATATGTTCTAAATTAAATAGAAAAGATTGTCCTTTAAAAAAAAAAAGAAAGAAAGAAAGAAAAAGAAAGGCATTTATAAGTTAGGAATACCAATGCATGGCAGATAGGAATATTTCCATGAGCTAGAATTTCCAGCTTTTAGAACCAAAAAGGATCAGCAGACCATACAGTCAGCCTGCCCACTGCTCATGGGGCAAAGGATTTCAATGATAAAAAAAAAAGCTTTAACCTGCCCAGAGTTCAGCAGTACCTTCCTTCCCAGCAAAATAGATAATGGAGAACATATATCCCAGGACTGTGCTAAGAACTGGCTTACAATAGATTATGGGTTCAAAGTCTTGCTTCTTTACATGTTCTATGGTGATATATTAAGACAGCCAAGATGCTGAAACCTCAATCTCCTTCGAAGTTGCCTTCTATAACAACTATGAAGTTAAATCTTTCAGGTTAAATCTCTCAGGTTAAATCTTCCCCGAAGCATGTTCTGAGAAGGGCTCTGTCAGTAACTGGCCAAGACTGAAACTCCCAATGCTTTCAGAACAAAAACTGAGAGGCTCAAATCATAGCCCAGCTTTCCCACAAGGAAATAAATAAAGCAGGAGGAGAAGAAGAGAGGTGTGCAAGCCCAATGATTCCCTAAGAACCACAAAGCATACCTAAAAAAACCCTATTAGCAATAGCAGAAGAGTGGGGAATTCATAGCTCCATGGGACTTTATTTTATGCAAGTGTGGATTGTAAAGTGTTCTGATATCAATCTGACATCACTGGCATAAAGATTTAGAGATATATAGACAGATTATATTGATAGGCACATAGTTTGCTGTGCTACTGATGGTCTACTTGTGAAAATATGTATCCCATATCTCACTGCTTTCTGATATGTACACTGGGTGGGATTTCCAAAGGTGTTTGGCATTGATCCATTTTAGCTTCTGCAAAAGATCATGAATGCACTTTAACTCAAAACTAGCACCACATCTTTCTGTTTTACTTGACCTGATATAAGTAGATGTCCTTGAGTGAGCATATCAGATTAGTAAACAACAGCCAAGTCACTATTGTTATCAGTTTAACTTAAAAATAAAATCAGACTATTTTTTGCATTTACTGCAGATAGGATTGACTGCAAACTGGTAGGAAACAATAGGGAAATGGAGTTTTGCAAGGTGTACTAGAGATGAATAATTGCAGATTCACAGATTCTCAATGAAACTACCAGTTTTAAAGCTATGAATGAAAATTGCATATATACCTGCATTTCTGAGGATACTACAATTATGAAAGTAAAGGTACAAATCAAAGCTTGTCTTCCTGGGAGAACATGTATTCAAGCAAACAAGAATTTTGTATAAAGCCTATTGACTTAAACAAAACATACAAATATAACCCCCTAAACAAGTTAAGGTCTCAGTTCTGGAACAAAGTAAGAGGCATTCTCACTTAAACGGAATAACAGTGTATTTGAAAACCTGGAATCTTTCTTTTTGATCCCCACATCTGTAATTTCAGGTAGCGGTAAAAAATGGTATATCTGAGCTATGATGTTGTACAAATATTTCCAAAAATCTGAATCTAGCTTCCAAATGTAAGAAATACTGATCTGAATTCAATATATCCAACTATCTACAGTGGATGTTTAATTAGTGTGATCATAAATAAGTCTAAAGAAATATTTAATAAAAAATTATCAAACCTTATCAAGTTTATATCTTGTAAGAGATGCCTACATTAGTTTACAGCACCCAATCTTTATTCATGTAGATATCTTATGATTTAAGCTGGCTAAGCGTAGACTGGGAGCAGCACATACAGCTGCTCACCACTCTGGGAGCCGTACAGGTTACCTGATGCAAGTAACTCAGGGTGGGAGTCGGGGCAGAGAGGACTGGGAAGGCTAGCAGGTCTGCAGGGAGGAGTGGTTAGGGTTTAGCAAGTAGGGGCAGAGGGTGTGCATGGGGGCAGGTTTGCCTGGTCAGAGGAAGGAGGGGATTAAAAATAGCCAAGTCGGGGCCAGGGGTTAGGTCAATCTGAATGTAACATCTGTATGTACTCAATGTAATTTAATTTATTCACTGATTCACAAACCACTCACCAGTGGGCATGATAGATACAGTAGTGTTTGTAGGAGATAAAAATCCAAGGGGAAAACTAAGTGCAATGTCCAAAAGATCAATTGTGGGAAGAAAGGTTTGTGCCAACCTGCAGCCCCAGAAACTGGCACAAGAAGCAAGGGGAAGTTCTCACTTTTATATAGAATATCATAGGGGTTTGTGTCACAAGCCATTGGGCCAACAGGAGGGAACAAATAAAAGGTAAAAAAAAATCAAACACAGTTGATGATACACTCAGCACCTTAATGTCCACCCTCCAACAGCAGCCTGCAGCTGCCCCTGAGTCTGAGTCCAGCTCCTTCAGTCCACAGTCCTGGCTGACTGAGCCAGTAAGATTTCCAACTCCACTGTGCACTCTTCTGTGTAGGACTGACCTGGTTTCATGTGCATGCTGCTGTCCCTTCCTCTTACTCTAGCTTCAAGTTTCTTCTTCCTTTTTCCCTTGTTCCCCCTCACCAGCCCTTGAGTTTTTTAGGAGTCATTGTCCAAATTAACAGTTATCACAGCTCTGCCGATTGCCCCCTGGCTCCTCCTGCAGTTACACACATTACATTCACGTTACACACTTACCAGTGGACATGATAGATACAATATTGTTTGCAGGAGATAAAAATCCAACCGCAAAACTAAGTGCAATGTCCAAAAGATCAACTGTGGGAAGAAAGGAACCTATTGGGAACTGGGGTTCTCTCTCTGCTACCTAAAAATAGCCAGAATGGCAGTTATCACTGAAAACTGGCAGGAGGGAAGACCCTATTAGATATATATGTATGTCACCTGAGTAGCCCTAATACCCCATAGGAATGAAAGGCTACTGTTCCAAGGTGCCATGAATGCACTGCCACCCCACGGCCTGTTGGCAGACTAGAGGAACCACCCTTCCCATCTTGCAAAAAAACTCGATCATTCTGCCATAAGAATTTTGCTGAAACTTATTTTGTGCAAGCAGTTAGATAGCCAGATTAAAATGCCTAAGAGTGATCTTGTCAGTGTGATTATACTGATGCCTAGCACATGGTAAATTCAGAATCTGCTTAACATTCTTTGCAGCTAACAGTTTTTACTTCTTTAGTTTCATGATAAGGGCTGTGATTTTGGAACAAGAAGGTGGGCTCTTTATCCCTATTGTTTCCAGGGAGTAACCATGATGTAAAGACATTACAGATATGAAATTCTAAAGGAATTCCTGACAATGTCTAATGTAAGCTACTTTAAAATTAAAGTACCAGGAAGCTTGTGCCATTCAGAATGTAATGAGAAAAGTAAACATTGGCTAGACTCCATCCTTTCTCTGTTTGCAGTAGAAAGATTTTTATTGTGAGTAAATATCAAATTAACACTTGTATATGACAGCAAGGGGAGTTTGAAGCAATTGACTGGGACATAGTAAGCAGCCATGTATAATTACCTACTCACATATATTTGAATCCATTGTAGAAGATTCATGTTTAAAAAACAACTTTGGCTCTAAGCTGCAACTTCAAACATCACACTATTACTTTCCAGGATGGAATATTCTGGGATGGAAATTTGTGTGTGCGTGCATCTGGGCTGGAGATGTCTCAGCACTGGAAAGAGCACTTTCCTGGGGATGGAATGAATATATTCAGTTCTCACTTCCAAGGCTGTTTAGGAGGACTTTCATGTATGACCAGCTGAAAAAGATGGAACATGATACCTTCAGCAGAAGACAGTTATGTGGAGCACTGGCTAAGCATTCATCTTGTGGGCCTTCTTCATTTTGTTTTTAAACTAAGGCAGAGTTCCAGATTCTGATTACATTTATTTTATCTTTCCTGAAAATTCATTTTTCCACTGTCCAGAGTGAGATCATAGTAATATGACCCAGTGCTTACCTCCCCAAATGTACTAGGCATGTCACTAACAGCAAGGAATAGGGTTGCTTCCAAAAAAGCCTGAAATAAAAAAAAAGAAGTGTAAGCTAAAATCTGGTATCTCCTGCCTTGCCTTCATTACAGTTATATTAAGGTACACTACGTGCATATGTTAAATTTACTGACAAATGATTGTGAATGATTTTGACACCATTTGTACGTATACTGGCCCCTTGCTGTATGTAGGTCACTGCCGCAGGCGTGGTGGGCCTGGGAAGTTCCAGAACCTCTGAACTATTGGCCTGTGGTGTGAATGCACATGCACGATCGAGGAGGAAGTGCGAGAATGCAGCAGCGAGCATGTGCGAGTGAGGTGCCAATCACCTGTGGCTTCTGAAACCTGTTGTGGGGGGGTGTATAAATGGAGAGAGTGTGAGGGGCGCAGGGGGGAGTTTGGTCTGTGGGTTGTCAGGTGCGGATTGTAGGTTCTGAGTTTTGGATGGTGGTGTGAGCCTTATTCTGTGGATTTGTGGAACTTGTGAATCAGGTGCATCTGGAGATTGAGGAACAGCCGAGCTGTGTGACTCCCTCAGTTTTCATTGCCTCAAATAGAGAGCTGAAGTCAGTTGGCTCCCGAGAACCAGTCCTGATCAGTGTGAGCAGCTGCCAGTTTCTATGTGCATATCACCCAACCCCTGGGTGCAGTATTGTGACTAGATAAGACCTTAAACCCTCCATCTGTATATATTTGTACATAGTGGTTTTAGTTCTAGTGTGCCGTTAGTTGTTAGTTGTGTATTATGTCAATAAACTGTGTATTAATTTCAGTTGTATTCAAATTTCAATGTTTAATTTATGCAAATTTGCTAATTGGCTTGAGGCAGTGCAGTGACAGATCTGCAAATACTTCAAGTGTGACAATTGTGCCCATCCCTTAATTTGGAGCTCTGGGACCTAATCAAGCTAATTAGTGTTTCTGATGGGCTCTCAAAGTCTCCATCCAACAACAGGAGGGTAGTTGGGAAGTGGGTCCATCCCACTTTCCACATGGAAAAAAATATTCTGATACCCTCAGTTTGAGTATAACCTTCCTTCTTGAAGAGCCCTAGTGAAATCAACTGGACTGATATATACTCACACTGCCTTCCTGGTGGACAGGAGAAGGGCAAAGACTAATACCCCAAGGTTGCAGATGTTGACTGAGGTGGGCTAATGATCCTGCTGGGACTTAAACCTGGAGGTTTCTGGCTAGAGAGTCTTGCCTCTCCACTCAGAGTCAGATAGATCACCATATTTGAGGCCAGGAAGCAATTTTACCCTATGGTCAGACTGACATAGACTGTGGGAGTTTTTGCCTTTCTCTGTAGTGAGCGATGTGGTCCTCTTCCTGGGAAGCATATTTTAACCTTTGCAGCAACAGGATGTTGGCCACCAGGGTCCCCCTACTTTACCAGTGGCAAATTAGGGTAAGTCTTGTGCTACGTCTAGGGTTGACAGCCTGGTATTGCTAGGAGACTAGACAATGGATTTTCATAAGATGGTTTGGAGATAGATGATCCTACCTCTGGCAGGATCATACATCTGACTTTTAAAGGCCCCTTCCAGCCCTACTTCTCTATGACTCATTCAGAGATTGCTGCTGATGGTATTTATATTGAACAAATTAAGTTCCCTATTCTCTTTCCACCATTCATTTCTTATGTTTTTATACTCCCCCTTTCCCTCCCCTCCCCTCTCCTGGCATTCATTTCCTTTCCTTCCACATAACAGAGTATTTAACTTGGAGGGTAAATAAATACCCTCCAAGGGTATTCAAAGGCTTCAAATACCCTCCAAGCTGATTCAAAGGCTTCCTGAAATCAATGAATGTTCTTCTATTGATTTCAATGGGGTTTGTATCCTCCGTGCCCTATCATTATACAGTCTTCAAGGCTGTGGCTAGATCAGTTTGTGACCAGATTTTTTTTTTTTGGATCACCATGAAATGTGGGGTTTCCTATATCTTTTCTAGTCATTGGCTTGTTCTCAGAATGTATTCTCCTATTCATGTAAAACTTCAGTAGAAGTTTTGTCTGATTATTAAAAATGCTGTTTTGCGCTTGCTTTCTGGACTGGTACACTACAGAATTATGATTTCCCCATAATTTAAAGGGAACCATGATATATAAAGAACTCTTCTACCTAATACTTCTGAAATTAGTTGTGAGCTTGCTGAATTTTGAGTTACACATGGGGATAAATGTCTCATAAGTGATGGATGGAAGACGGAGTCTGGAATTCAATCTGTGTATGAAATAACAATTGTAGTTAGTAATTATGTTGATACATACCATAAGATTGATAATGCTTGCAAAAATATGGATCCAGAATATTAACTAACCATACAAGAGATGAATTTATTAGTGAAAAAATGGTTAGAATTAAAGAGCAACAGATACTTCTTAGAAAATTTAAGAAAAGGTTTCATACAGAACCCTTTTCTGCCTCTTCTGTATATTTAATTTTCAGGAATAGGTTGCTTCCCCATGTTATTACCAGGATACTTCCATTAAAATGTGGCATATGTTTCTTCAGTTCTTCCTCCTCATCCCTCATCTGAAGCCTCATTTCCTGGAGATGGCTATTATGCTACAGAGAAAAGATGTTAGCTTTGACTGAGAAAGACTAGGAGGAGCAGAAAGAACACTTAAAAAGAAATATCCTGTTTTCATGAACATCTGCTGACCCATAGCAATCCAAAAGGTAGGAAAATGAAGGAAATTATGACAGAGGCAGAGTGAATTCTGAATGAAAAATAAAGGACAACTTTTCTCTGAGATAGCAGTATCTTCAAAGAGATTACTGGGAACCGGCAGAGCCCATGTAAAACAATCCACCTGAAACTTCTACAACAGAATAGGGAAGAGAACACTCCAACACCCACTTAAAACAGATGTAGGTATATTGTTGTCATAAACATGTTACAGCACATGTGAACTTGTGATGTTAGAAGATATAGAATTAACTCAGTTTTCCTGATAGTTAAATCTCCCAATAAAAATGTTGCCTAGAGCTTATTTGAATAGATCTGAAAGTCAGAAACTGGACTCTCAGGTTGGATACAAGCTTCAAGGTGCGAAGTTCCTTTGCTCTGTGATATAAAGGAGAATACACAAGAATTAAAATGGTTTGAACTCCTTCAAAATGAAGGAGTACAATACAGTACAGTGTAGCTCCTTCAAAATGAAGTACAGCTTCTTCCCACCCGTCATAGATGATCAGCACTCCACTGTTCTCATGGTGACTTAGGTTAATGTGTTTAAGCAAAAGTGCTTTCCTCATTCTTGTTCTGTATTATAGGATGTGCCTCTAAAAGAGTGTTTGAATCCAGAGAAAAAATATTTATTTCAGAGTACCTTTTAAGGCAAGAAATTATTTAAATCTCCCAAGTGGTATTCCTGGACACTAGAAAATTATTTTCCAGTATATAACTATATGGCCAGCCTGCCCCAGATGTGATGTTATGCTGTACAACATTATAAAGTTCCAGAATACATTAATTCCTTGAGACCCTGTTTTCACATCTTTCAAAACAATGAAAATAAAGCGTGCTAAAATATTACTTTCATGGGGAGTTAAGCCGTCAAGAGAGCAATTAAAAAAATTAAATATAGGCTTTTGCAAAATTAAAAAAAAAAATCTTTCTAACTTTGGAAAATCGCCACCAAATACTATGGTCTTTTGAGCAACAATCCATTGGTTCCAGTAGCTTTCAGAAGTTTCACAGTACAAATACAAGTGTTAATACCAATTTACAAATGCGACAGTCTGTAAGAATAACACTTTCTACTGTTGAAGCATATTCTTCACAGCCGTATGCCAAGCAAGCTGACCTAGATTTCTAATAAAATAAAATCTGAAAAGATTTAACTTGTTGAAACTAATGTTGTACATTGTCTCCCTATGACAATAATTTAGGGAAGCCAAGTGGAAAAAAATTAACTTTAATTTGCCTACTGAACTTTAGTTGGCTTGCTCAAAAAAATTACCATTACACCTTCTACACTATACTTGATTTGGTGAAACATGAAGGTTGCAACATATGTATGAATAATATATAAAGTTTATATAAATAATAGAGGTAGAAACTGGCTTTATTGAAGTCAATGGAAATTTTGCCAGGGGTCAGGATTTCACCTCTATTGAATCTAAGTATAAAGACTTGCACCAAATTCCTTCCTTCACCATAAAATGGGCATCTCCCTTTCACGTTGTTTCTTTCTTTTTTGTCACTGTGAGATGCAGTTTATATTCTTCTAGCATTAAGAACATATGTGTTTGAAACACAGGCCTTGTTACTAGCTCAAATTAACTAAAGTTGGCACTAACTGACTAAATCAGAGGGATGACATGATTGGATATGTTAATGAAAGGTGATAAGAGGGGACCAACTAGGCAGTGCCCAATTGCAGAGCCCTTGGAATTTCTGGAGTTGATGGACAGAGCAAATTAGGAGTCCAGGACGTGCCCAAATTAAGACACTGGTAAAATATCAAATTAAGATGTTTGCATTAGGGCTGTGGGAAGTTTCAGGTGCTGATTCAATTCGGAGGAGATTTGGCTCGATTTGGCAGCCGAATCTCTGAATCTGAATCAAATCAGGAAACGAATTAAAACGTCTGAATCAATTTGAAGCTCTTTGAATCAATTTGGAAAAGATTCGGAGAGCTTTGGAGATTCAGGCAGTCCCCACTCGCTACCACAGAGAGCTGGACCCAGATTACATGCTGGCAAGTAGGAGGCGGGGGGGACCCCTGCCAGGTCCCATCCCCTGCCTGCTCCCCCAGCCCCGTTCAGTGCCCCCTGACCCCTGCCCCCTTTCCCAGTGTCCCCCCCCCGCATGGCTGCCCCACCCAGTCCCAGCTCCCAGCTCTTTAAAAAAAAAGCCCCACTCACCAGCTGCTGCCAGGAAGGGGGCAGTGGAAGTCGAGCCTTTTTCTTTTGTATTCAAAAAGCCGGGAGCTGGGGCTGGGCAGGGCAGCCATGGGGAGGCTGGGTGAGTGGGCAGGGGTTGGGTGGTACTTGAGGGAGCTGGGGGAGCC